CTTCTGTAGGCTATTCTGCTATTCCAGATGAAAACAAAGTTACCAATTCTACTGAGTGAAGGACGCACAGCCCCACTACCAGCTCTGTCTGAGGCAATTTACCATCATCTCCAAAGCTTCACAACAGCCTGTACCGGCAGTCAGTTCATTAATCGATTGAATCCTACACTGCCTATGCAGTATGAAAGTGCGTGTGTACAGTAGGTGTGCGTGTGTTTGTGTGTGTGTGACAGAGAGAGAGAGAGTTAGTTAGTTTTGAAATGTGACGATCTTTGATGGGCAGCGTGATGGTGCAGTGGGTATCGGTGATTGACAGGATGCACAGGGTGAGTTCCCTCCTCTCACCCATTGTGTGCTCATCTCCCCAAACACAGCAACCCCATCCTCTGCATCCCCTCCCTCCCTCTATCCTCTCTTCTTTTGTACTGCTAAAAACTGCCATTTTTCATTGCTGCAAAATGAAGTTAATTATCTGGCGTTGTTCTTGTTTTTATTGGAAGCTGAGAATACAATATTGCTTGAAAGATTAACATCAATATTAGGCCTATATTATATTATATTATATCAGTATTGACAGAAATGAATATTGATTGAGGCTGAGGGTGAGAGAAAGAGACAGAGAGCATTGAACAGACTGCTTCAGACTCCACCCTGATGATCACGATTCAAAATCAATTTGCTGCCAACTAGGCAGGCCTCAATCTCAGTTCAGCCTGAAATTCTGAACACCATATAAAGCAAATTCAAATAAGATTATTAATTCAAGTGAAGTCATTTGCAGTGGAGCACAGAGGATTGGCTAGATCTATATGGCAGGAGTGGCAATATCATCTCTCTTCAGATTCAGACAACTTTATTTATCCCCAAGGGGCAACTAATTTGTAGCTTCCCTGTCCATACATCAGTACATAAGACAGACAACCAACAATCCAACAAAATCAAAAGAATATATTCAGGACATGGGACAGTAGGACGCTCAAGCTGTACCAAGAGCAATTTAAAATATATATAAATAAATAAATAAAAATAAATACAAAAATAAATAAGTACAAATAGAAGCAATAGATAAACAATTGTAAATAAATAGCAATAAATAGCCAAATCTCATAAAATTGGAGTCTTGGAGTACGCTCTGGCATTCCAGGCATTGATAAATCCTGAAGATAACAGCTGCTTTCCCATTTGAGTCCTTGTAAGCCAGAGACGAGTCAGAACACAGGAGCTGAACAGAGATTTCACAGGAAACCCCATTGAGTGCCTTTATTAAGGATAATTATCAAGCAGCCTAGTAAGAGGAAGCAGGCAGATTTGATGTTTGAGACGGTCCGAGGTCAGCTTGTGGGAAAAAAAAAGATCCGAAGGGGAAAAAAAGAGTGTAGTTAACTCTTAAAATCCCTCACTAAGCTAATAGCAATGAAAAAGCATTGATTTGCTCCACCAAATGGTTGAGCATGAAATTAAACGGTTAAGGGGAAGTTTGGCGCCAGACATAGGGGTGCCTCACCGGGGGGAGTGAGTGACACAAGGCTGGGGAAGCACTCGGCGCAGACTGAGAGTAACACGGGAAAAAACAAGGAGGAGACTTGCAGCTCGGAAACGGGTACAACTATAAACACAGAAAACGCTATAGAGTAACAAAATGAGAATGGAGGTTAACAGTCTAGTGGAAGGAAGACGAAAACCAGGAACTTAAATACACAGAGGAAACAATTAACAATGCTGGTCAGGCGTGCAAGAGCATGGGGGTGGTGAAGTAATGACGCAAGTATTAAGTAAAAAGAAACAATTAACAAAATGAAACCAAAACTAATACCGACAGCTAAACTGCGGGTGGCAAAACACTAATTGACAGACATTCAGGACGTGACTGGGACTTTCTACCAGCTTCAGTCATTTGTATTTCTGAGCCAAAACCTGACCAAATGAGGTCTAGCCAAGTCGCCTATCAGTTGACTTCAAATGGAGAAGTTTTTCATCAAATATCAGTGGTGACTTAGCATGCAGAACAAAGATATTAGAGCTGATAAAAAAAGATCATTTGGCGCACGATATCAACACTGCAGGCTTATTGGACAACAGACTGTAGTGAAAAATAATGAATATAAAATGCTACTGAGTTACTCTCACACAGTATTGACAGAAGGTAAAGAAAACTCATTCGACTATTAATAATTATGATAAAAAATAAAAGAAATAATATGTAAATAAATATTTCTGTAACTATATGAAGGCAGTATTGATTAGGGTGCTCAAATTATAACGGACAAAAGAACGATAATTACAGTGCACGCAGCTCAGAAAAAGTTGACAAAAAGTTGAACAAGAGAAAGTTTTAAATCTGTTCATACACAGGCAACCTGTCATTTACTCTCACTTCGCATTCATCTGTTTTTCAGTTTCCCGTCCAACCGGCAGAATTTAGTCACACTTTCACAAACACAAATTAGCTTAGCAATTTTCAAAATTATGAGTCAGGAAAAAAAATGCAGGAAGCTGCTCTTGATTGCGCCGAGCCGTTTGCAGAGATTAGCATAATAAAAACAGAGATGAGGCATTCAGAAGCGAAACGCAGCTAAAAATAACCATATAGAATAGCGCTACCATTCAATTCAGGAAATGAGGACAGATAAGATCCCATCCTGTCAGTCACTCCATTATCACAACTGAATTAATCCTCTAAAAAGTATATTTTTGGAAGGTTTTTTTTAATATTCAAACCAGAGACCTAGAACTCTGTTGCTTTCAAAGTACCAGTTTATAGCAAATTCAACGACCACTGGGGATTGCAACATTGACATCAGAACTTTCATTTGAGAAAATAAATCATTTGATTTAAATATTTGTGATTGCACACCTGCTAAAAAATATTCACTGTCTGTCGCCAAATGCCAAAGAACTTAATTAGGTGAAAATGTGAGGCACAGTATGTCGGGGGGGGGGAGGTTGGGGGGGTTCTAGGTGAAAGGTCACATTGCCGAGAGAGATAGAGAGAGACAGAGCAGAAGGAGTGATTTGGAACGAGGCTACGACTCAGTGAGACGCGAGCGAGAAACGGCCTGAAGAGGACAGGAGACGTGATCACGGTAGGACAGGTGAGGCTGAGACATACAAATCCTGCCTCACTGCAGTACTGTAATTGCAATCAAATTCCAAATTGCTTCTTTGAAAAAAAAAAAAAAAAAAAATCCACATTTTGCTGCACTTCTGGATGAAAACAAAGTTACCAGTCCCGCTGAGTGAAGGACACACGACCCCACTGACAAGGACAGAACTCAGGAGCCTTTTGTCTGAGCAGAAATCACAACGGCCTCGTATATCGATGGGTCGGGATGAGACTGGGCTTGGCAGGCAAAACCAGTATTTCACATCTACAACGTTGTAAAATCTTCCTAACTATGGAGCTTTGAGTATGTACTCAATATACTGTCAACTGCCCAATGTCAATAAACCATTTCTCACTGCAGCAGGTTGAGTAAACTGGATTAAAAAAACATGCAAAGTGCTATAAAGATAAGATATACTTTATTGAACCCCGTGGGGTAATTTGTCCTCTGCATTTAACCCATCCTATAGTTAGGAGCAGTGGGCAGCCACACAGCAGCACCCGGGGACCAACTTCAGTTCTGAAGCCAGTACCTTAGTCAGGGGTACTGGTAGGAGTGTTCCTATGATGCATGTTTTTCCAGGTGGGGGAAACCGGAGAACCCGGAGGAAACCCATGCAAACATGGGGAGAACATGCAAACTCCACACAGAAAGGCCCCAGGTGTTATGATCCTGCTCTGTCTGTCATGATTCTGCCATGGTTGTTATGTTTTCCCTAGTCCCTGTTATGTTTATGATGTCTGTTAGGTTTTGCCATGTTCTGTTTAGTTTTTGCATTTTGCCATGTTTTCGTTTTTGCCACTCCCAATCCACTATTCTGTTAGTTTCCGGTCCATGTCTTTGTTCATGCCCTTCATTGCACTTTGTCTCCCCTGTCTGGTCTTTTGTTAAGCTACAGCTTCTCCCCAGTCTTGCGTGTCACATGCTTAGGTGATTTCATGGTTTCTGGGTTTCAAACATTCCTTCCAATCTCGTTTGCTTCCTTCGCCTCTCTTTTCTGTTTTACTAACCAATACTAACAGTTTGTTATTTTTGTTAAAGTTACTAACCCAGACTAACATTGTATATAATACTAACTTACTAACGAGCACTAGGGATTGTATAGCTGCACTTACTAATTGATTAACAAGCTCTCAGCACTCGCCCTGTTCTAGTCTCCGCCTCTTGCCTGCACTTAGTCTTTGCTTGCAATTCAGCAGATCCTCCGCACCTGCTCCACTCTGTCCTGCCTCTCATTATCTGTGCACATTAGAACTCCCTAACCGGAGCTGTATGTCTTGTCATAGGTTGTCTCGTGTTCCCTGTCCGCGTTTTGGCTTTTGCCAATTTCATGTGATTAGGTTCTCCCTCATGTTCCCTCCTTTGTAATTAGTCTGATCCTCATCACCTGATCCTAATCATAGCATGTGACTTCCCTTGAGTGTATTTAAGCTGTCTTCTCACTGCAGTTCCCCGTCAGAACGTTTCCCTTGTTTACCTGTGCTGCTCTTGTTTCTCGCCTTGTACTCATAGTGTTTCTCTTCTGACTGGACCACCCGACTACCTCTTTTTGGCTCTGCTCTTTTGTACTATTGTCTGCATCTGTTTTCGACCCTTTTTGCCCGACTACGAGTTTCGTGTTTGCTGCCCTGGAAACGGTTTGGATTACGCCCACTGGATTTTGTCTTTTGCTTCTCTGACATTCCTGTGTCTGTGTACCGAACCTGTGTTTGCCCGACCACGAGTACTGTTATTGCTGCCCTGGTTATCGACTCTGATTCTGCCCTACTGGATTGTGATTTTGGATTGTGGACTCTGTACCGTTGCTTTTTGCCCTGTGGGGGTTCACCCCCAACTACAATAAATCACTTTTTGCTGCTACTTCCTGGTCTCGCATTTGGTTCCAGAACGGTACCTCACACCAGGCCGGATTCAAACCCACGACGTTCTTACTGTTAAGCAGCAGTGCTAACCACTGCGCCACTACAGTATGTTAAATTGTCTCAGAATGTAATTTGGCTAAAAAATAATGGATTATACTAACATATTTGTAAGCACATTATGCTTTATTAGGACAAGATGGGTCCATCTTTGGGTCCAATCACAGATGCATCACACCGATGAGGGCGGTGCTTTATTTGACAAACAAGGACACTTCACGACACTCCCATCATTCTGCGTAACAACAGTTATGGAGGCAGAACTGGGCAGTATCTTGGTAGGTTGTGGATACTGAGGACATGATAGCTTAACACAATGGATAAACCTGGCAGAACCCAAGCACCAATTCACCTGTGAAGTATGCATCCGGTGCAGTTCCGGTATTTTAATCACGTGATGATAACTCTCATCTGGAACGCTCAGTTTGCATTTGCAGAAGTAGGTGAGTAAGATGTTTCAGGGAGGGCCCAGGGTACCAACTTGGTGACAATTCAGGTCTTGTCGTTTTCATTTGCTTTGTCTAACCTCAGAGTCCGGAGGATCTGCAATCATCGCTTCACGGACATTTATTCAGATTCAGAGCCGTTTCATCCGCTGCAACTGGAGAAGATCAAGCTGGTGTAGATGAGTTTAGTGTCTCCTTTTAATTCACAAAACCCACATTTCAAACACCGCTCAGGATCAAATGGCTTAAGCAAAGTCTGATCCCCACAAAATCCTCTACAACACACAGGGAGCCAACTTTCGCTCTTATCCTGATCGATCTCCAACACAGACTGCATACGCAACACACCAACAGGCAATAAGGGCAGTCTTTGTTTTTACACCGGACGCCTGTACTTTCTACTGTCCGACCCTGAACATGTGAACCGCGCCTGGTGAGTATGTACTTATTTCCTGTAGCCTTTTATTTCTCAACTTCTTCTCCGTCAGCTGAGACAGCAAATGCTCCAAACTGCTGCGATGGCTTGCAGGAGGCTGGAGGAGCCCCGCTGAAGTAGGAGACACGTTTGACACTTCTGAGAAGACACGGCGCTAAAGCTCAGCTCTCAAACAAATGACAGGCTTTTTACTCGTGACAGAATGTGGAAAAGATTATGTAACACAGCAATGGAAAGTAGTTCTGTGTGGTATTATTCACTTTGTGGGATTTTTACTATTTGTGCCAAGCTCTTATTTTGCAATATTTCCAGCACATGCTGTGAATTATTTTTTTCAGCTAAAACCAAAAATGTATTTTATTCAGTATTTGTTCAATGTCTATATTTCAGTTGACCAACTCGTGTAAACAGTTAACTGCAGTATTGGTAAACACAATGATAGTTTTGGCATCTAGCCTCACACCATGACCCACCCTGCGGCCCATGGAGCGTGATGAGAAGAGAGCGGGAGGTTTCAGGATATCCCCCCTCATAAGGGGGAAATTCAGAGCCTACAGATGATAGCTGGGGTGGAGGTGGGATATTAACTGGCAGCAGCAGCGAATGATGCAGCAGCAGCAGGCGAGCAGAGGCATGTTTTTACAGCAGAGGCGAAGCTGGAAAGCAGCCTGAATAGCTTGCCTTACAAAGGGACAGAGTGGTGGGAGATATGCATGGGAGTGGCCATGAGTACAAGGGAATGTCTAGAATAGTCCGCATGAAATAGCTCCAGAAGCTGTGCCCCATTTTTTTCTTTTTTTTTTTGAGTTACTCTAAAGCGCTGCACAGTTTAACAGAGGGACAAATAGCCTTAAGATGTTTTAACTGCTGGTTGATCTTATCATGTGGACCAAGACTCTACACCAAGCACAGTGGCAAAGGTGAAAAGACCGGCTGTTCGAGAGTTGAAGTCCTGCCATGTGAAGTTTCATTCATGAACTCGTGTAGCTGATTTTTACAAGTCGGTTCTAACTCTTGACTGAAAGACTGTGCTCCAAAGCAATTTCTATTGGTTCAAACAAAATGATAGGGAGGACTTTCACCTGACGGCATATCAATTGTTATGGAAGGATATTTGACTGGCGACTGTAGAGGAGCAGATTTGAGCCCTCACTAGGCGTACAGGACGCTGGCTGACTTCTGGAGGGATGGAGGTGGGTCCTTCCATCGAGGTCCAAACACCTGTCAGAAGATGGTTCCAAAAAAACCTTGTGATTCCACAGAGAGCCTAGTGTCTCATTATTGGGCACTTCATCTGGCAAAATGGTCTAATCTGGTAACATACACATTTTATACCTACGACAGAGGGTTTTAAAAAGAACTAAAAATGGTTAGTTGTTGTAGTAGCAATGGTGTGGAGACAAACAAAGGAACCCTTTTTTTAGAGACTGTACTTGCATAGAGAAGAAATCTTCTGATAAGCCCATGAGCGGGTGCGATTACTAAAAACTATTCTCTCACAGTGTCTCGCTGTTTCTGTGTGCAAATGTCCTCTCAGGAATTCATTCCCTAGCGTTCCTGAAAGTGAAACTCTTGCTCTCAATGTACCTTCCCCAGTTAAACAGAGGATGAAAGATGTAGGTCTGAAGGGGTTTCAGCAGCTGCAAAAGAAAGCAATACACCCTCACTATCATTGAGATGGATGTTGCATCTGCTCACAGTCGCTGGTTTTGTCTTACGGGGTAAATAACAGAGGGAGAGAACATGTTCACCATCCTCACCTCTTCAAACAGCAGTCAGTCTTCAGTGTGCCTCTATCCACAGCCCCTGCAGCTGCGAGTGAAGTATTCATTTCTCCTGCTGCTAAACTGGGCCCATTTGATCTGAATTTTCCCACCCATCGATTGGCTGCCTGTGTGGGATGCCTTCCTGTCTCTTATTCCTCAGATGCAGGGTTAAGCCCTGGCTCCTCCCAGAACACCAGTCAGGAACATAGACTGTATAAAGAAATGGATGCAGCACCCGAGTCTGAAAAGTGAAGCCACTGCAGAAGAAACTTAAAATCACATTCTATTTAATGGCCAGCAGATGGCGACATCGGTGGTTGCAGAAAGAAGTTCAATGCTATAGAAGTCTATGATAAAATGACCCTACTTTCCCACCTGATTTATTATTTCAATAATGATTTTCAATAATGATTTTATGGTATCTATTGCAAGTTTCAAGTCTCCGATATATCATGATGTTCATTTTTGTAAATTCTGGTCCCATATAGACTAGAATAAAGGATAAAGCCAGAATATGCTTTGGGGGCGTGGCCATCCTCTGATCCTCATCAGATACGGTCAGATCCACCCGAAGATCCCACCCCTCGCTCCTCCCTGGGTCTTCAATTCTCGCTCTCGTACAATAGGAATCACATCTGGTTTAAAAATGACAAAATGGCACTGTTCAAATTGCCAAAATCAAGGCTTCCTAAATGGTATGCTGAAACCAGTGGGTGACGTCAAGGTTGCTTCATCCATCTTTTTATACAGTCTATAGTCAGGAATAACTTAGTTTGAGCATGGATAGATGGATGGATGGATGGATGGATGGATGGATGAATGAATGGCCCAACAATGAGTGTATTCATTGTTTCGATACGTATCCAAAGCTCGTTAAATCCTTCCACACAATTCAGAACAGCCCAAAGAAATGTGTTTACAGTATCCAGTGATGAGAAATCTCTTAGATACCTTTGTCAGGCCGTCTGCTTGAACTGTTTTGAGTAATTCCCCTACTGGCCAATTCAGGTACTACCAGCCATGTGCTGTTTGTTGTGTTTGGTCATTTGTCTTATTCCCCTGCCCTTATTTGGTCACTTCCTCTTCTGTCCCCCATTTTGTGTGCACCTGTTTTGTGTTATGACCAATTCACCTGTGTGTTTAGTCTCAGCCTGTCCTGACTTGTCCACATGTCAGTCCATCGTAGTTATTTCTGTGACCTGCAGCACCTCTGTGTGCACCTTCTCTGTTAAGCTGGGGTTCAGTTATTCTGTCTGATTGGCATTCTGGTTCTGAAGATCTGCCTGTACTCTGGAATATTCTGTGCCTGCCGTCTCGGATTGTCTGCTTGTGTTTGATTGTAGCACCTGCTACGGACCTCGGCCTGTACTCTTTGAATCTGCCACTGCCTTGCCCTGTTAGCGCTTTATTTTTTTTGTGATCAAAATTTTTTTTAATTTCATTCATACCAAAAACACACACACTGCAATACCAATTAGAATTATTATAATACCATCAATGTGAAAACATAAAAACCAAATTTACCCAACTTAAACCCCCCTCCCAAAAAAAAAAGAACCCCCCAACCCCCACCCCATGGACCTTGAGGATCCCCTTACACATCAGAAATATCTGACCCGTTCAGTAAACTTTTCAGCTTATCTGCAATGTTTAACCACAAGGTAGTATTTCTTTCATGAGCTCCATGTATTCTTGCTGTTGTTAGCTCCATATACACCACATCTAGAAAGCTAAGAATCCATTGATGAACAGAAAGTAAATGTGGGGGCTGCCACCGTAAGGCAATCATTCTTTTAGCTGCTGTGAGACCTGCCAGCAAAACTCTAGTTTTACTCATTGGTACATTCAATTTTTCAAAATCATTCAACAGAAGAATTTCTGGAGAGACTGGTACAGATATTGAAAGGGTATTTGAGAGTTCAGAAGCAATTTGTGCTCAAAACATAGTCACCTTAGGACATCCCCATACCATATGCATAAAACAGCCGATAGCTCCAGTATTACAAAGGGAACACAAAGGGCAAGTATTCATTTTCATCAAAAAAAGTTTACGAGGAGTAATATATAATCTATGTGCAAACTTAAAATGAATGAGCTGATGATTGGGGTTCCTGGAAGACAGACTAACCTTACTCCAGATCCTATCCCAGTCAATGTTTACTTCTAAATCTAAAAGATCTCTATTCCATAAAATATCATTTGAAAGTGGTTTATAAGTAGCTTGTAAGATAGTAAGATATAATCTGGACACCAGACCCCTAGTTCTGCCCCTGGTATATAACAACTCATGTAAAGGGTGTGATACTAATGTCACTCCCCAAGGAACCCCATAGGCCCGTAATGATGAACGGAGCTGTAAGTAAAAAAAGAAGGAGGAGCCAGGTAAATTAAAACGAGTTTTA